TCAGGAAGGGAGGTTTCGTTTGCATGAGGCACGACGAAGTAAGAGACCTCGCAGCACCTCGATGTCACTGTGAAACTGACATTCCTCCCATTGGACGGTGAGTGTTTCCTTCACCGGACTGCCTACACAACCAACAAAGCCAGTGTGGACGTCAGTGCTCGGGGATTCTGGACGAGGAAACTGTGAGCCTCCATTGATATCAAAATATGCAATCCCCTGACCACATGTCACCATGACCTGTCTAGGGAGACTACATGCGGGAGGAACAAGAACAAAATGAACAAAGTGTAAGCATAGAGATTCCAGAATGTGGATCAAGGCAGCTTCACTCCAGATTGGCTGAGGCGTTACCAGAATAGACGCAGTAACCTTGAAGATGCTGTATGTTGTGGCCTGGTTAAGGTGTCGCCTAACCTTCTCTTTGCTCAGCTCTGCTATGCTTCAGGGAAACAAGATTATCAGCCCCTAAACCAATGACAGTCGCAGACAGACTATGAGGCAACAGTTATGGCTATAGTGCTCGCCTCCTGTCCTACGGCTCCTTGCTTTATGTCTGGGGCGCCTCCAGTTCACCCAAATATGAATGGGTACATAACTTTACGGCTGGGAAAACGGAAGCAGTCGAATACAGTGTGTTGTATCCAAACTGCCTGTGACGGCCATAAAGTCTATGGGAGGCACTCTTAAGATATTTCCCCTAGTATTATCTTATCATCCGTCAAACAGTCTCTAAATGTGGTTCTATTGGGTCAAAATTTAGATGCAGATGGATTTTGCAAGAATTTACAAAGTTATTGAAAAACATCAGTTAGGGAAGCTAGCACCTGTCGACCAGAAGTTGTAAATATAAGTCGACCTTCATGAAAACTGGTAAAATCTTTGTATTAATTAAAATCTATGCTTGTAAACTTTTTGCAAAAATTGGCCAAAATGTTGTATAATTTAAGTTTGGTGTGACGACCACAGGGTGTAGAATTTTACAATGTTGTTAACTTTTCATTTTGGAGACATAAATGCGTCTATATATAATAGTAAATTTTTTTCATTAATTTTATCACTATTAAACTGATTTACTATCTTCGTATCTTAGTAAAGATTACACCTGGTGAGTAAATTAATAGAATATACGTAAAGTTCTCAATAATAATTAACCTTCCTCATCCAGGTGCACTCTGGCGGCAGCCTCGAGGGTCACATAATTATCATCGGCCTTGACCATCGCTGGGTCTCCATGTGTTAATATCCGGAGTGGATCTTTACGTTCTAAACCCTGGCGACAGCTTCACCTTTAAGCGGTCAATGATTAATCAAAACATCGCAAACACACACACACACACACACACACACACACACACACACACCAGGAAATGCATTAAAAATGTATCAATAATAAAGTAAATATAACGAGATAATTTAACACTTCTCAAGTCTACACACTGTTTCCAGATAAACTATTCGGATATTATTACGTATCGAGACCGGACTTTCTTTAAACGGTCCAGGGTATTATTTTTAGTTGACTTCCTGCACTGAGCTAACGCTTTGAGGACTCTTGTCACGAGCGAATGAAACACCTGTCGCTATGGTAGACAGGAAGCAACAGGTGTGGTAGACAGGAAGCAACAGGTGTAGTAGACAGAAGTAACAGATGTAGTAGACAGAAGCAACAGGTGTAGTAGACAGAAGCAACAGGTGTAGTAGACAGGAAGCAACAGGTGTGGTAGACAGGAAGCAACAGGTGTAGTAGACAGAAGCAACAGGTGTAGTAGACAGAAGCAACAGGTGTAGTAGACAGGAAGCAACAGGTGTAGTAGACAGGAAACAACAGGTGTAGTAGACAGAAGCAACAGGTGTAGTAAACAGAAGCAACAGGTGTAGCAAACAGAAGCAACAGGTGTAGTAAACAAGCAACAGGTGTAGTAGACAGGAAGCAACAGGTGTAGTAGACAGAAGCAACAGGTGTGGTAGACAAGCAACAGATATACAGTACTATTTGTCAGGGAGGAGGATCTTGTAGACTACTGTAGAAAATCTTGTTTATAAACGGAAGGAAGCAGTAAAAATATAGTTATAAAAAGTATAAAGATTATGCGTGAAAGTAGACGAATAACGTAGAAAATGTAGGTAAATAATGGATGAAAGTAGATTATTAACAGATAACATTGATCAATAACGGGAGGTAGAGGTGGTTAAAATTACTCGTTATCAAGTGTAAAAAAGTAGATATTTAATTGAAGAAAGTAGACAAAGAGGAGAGGTAAAGTAGACACAGTAACACTACTCGTTACCAAATGAAGGAAGTAGTTAAGTAATGAAAATCCGTTATTAGTGGAGTAAAAATAGAAACGTGAAAAAATCTCCATAAATTTACGATCGATTTAAAGTAACGAAGATGAGAGATAAAGTAACGAAGGTGAGAGATAGACAAGTAACGAAGATGAGAGATAAAGTAACGAGGGTGAGAGATAGACAAGTAACGAAGATGAGAGATAAAGTAACGAAGGTGAGAGATAGACAAGTAACGAAGATGAGAGATAAAGTAACGAAGGTGAGAGATAGACAAGTAACGAAGATGAGAGATAAAGTAACAAGGGTGAGAGATAGACAAGTAACGAAGATGGGAGATAGAAGAGTAACGAAGACGAGAGATAGACAAGTAACGAATAAATAACAACGTTGGGAAGAGAAAAAGTAACGCTCTATCATCGGATAAACAAAATTAGTAAAAACGTCAAAATAAATCTATGAATAGGGAAGAGTAAATAACTAAATACTAAAGAAGAAGAATTGAAAAGTGGTAATAATAAATCGTTACCAAATGGAGGCACAGAGTATACACGTAATAAATCTGGGAGATGAGAGAGGAGTGAAGTAAAAAGAGAGAGAGAGAGAGGGAGAAATATAAAAGGAAAGAGGGAGAGGTGGGAAAAGAGAGAGGGAGAAATATAGAAGGAAAGAAACAGAAAGTGAAGAGAATGGAAGAGAAAAAGGGAGAAATAGAGAAGGACAGAGAGAGAGAGAGAGAGAAAGAGAGAGAGAGAGAGAGAGAGAGAGAGAGAGAGAGAGCATTATATTTGTCTCTCTACCAGGAAGGAGGAGGAGGAGGTAGGGAGAGGATCAATATGTCCGCTACAAAATAATTCTCGTCCCATCTGTTGGCGTCAATTAATCGTCCTCTTTGTCGCTGGCTTAATCGCGATTGTTGCCGTCGGGATTGCGGTTATTGCTGTCCGTATGGCTGTTCCTGTGGCTGGCATGCTGTGCTTTCACTCATACCATGATTTTTTTTTTTTAACCAACTAGCAGCTGCACTGTGTTGTTCGCTTGGTGTTACTACAGCTGTGGTTGGTGTGCTGTTCGGTTGGCTGTTACTACTGCTGTGGTACTTGTGCTGTTCCCTTGGTTTTTTACTGTCGTTGTTGGTGCTGTGTTTTCATTCTGTGTTGCTAATGTTATAATTTCTAACGCTGTGGTTATTTGTGTCATTGTTATTGTTGTGGTTATGCTTCACTACTATCGTTGCGGATGTTGTGGTGTAAAATCTATGTTTTCTTTCCTCCCTCTCTGTAATACTTGTTGTTGTAGGTAATGGCTGTTATTGATGTACTGTATTTGTGATTTTGTAGTCGTTCCTCTCTCTCTCCTTGATTATTACCTTGATTATTACTCTTCTTTACACTTTTTACACGGATCCAACACTGTAATCAGATCAATAATTCACAAATCCAATTAAAAAAACAAAGGCCAACGCAAGGTATTAACATTGCACGCTCTCATGACTCTACCTAAGCCACTGCCAACACGAGCACTTAAGAGCCGAGTTTGGCGTTCCCGCAAGGACCCATTATGGACGCCAAGCCAGGCGAAGCTCCGCCCGCCTCCTAACACCCTCCTCAGTGGCCCTGTTTTATGGTACTGATCTTAGAGTCGTAAACCTGAGGTCATGAGGCTGTGTTGGGTGAGTGTTAAGGTGAGTGTGGCTCTCTGGTCTCACCTGAGAGGGTAGGAGAGTGGCTGCTACACCTGAGTGGACAGGAGAGAGGGCTACTGTACTTGAGTGGGCAGGAGAGTATACTACTATACTTGAGAGGGTAGGATAATGGTTTGCTGCACCTGAATGGGCAGGAGAGTGGGCAATTGTACCTGAGTGGGCATGGGGAGTATACTGCTACATCTGAGTGGGTAGCTACACCTGAGAGGGCAGGAGAGTGGACTGCCTCCTTTGAATTAACAAGGGAGTGCGCTGCTACACCTGAAAGTTGTCATGGCCGCTTTAGTGTCCATTTCAATCACATGATGCCATGTGACCTACAACAACCATGAGGCGAACTAGGTAAGTGTGTGTGTGTGTGTGTGTGTGTGTGTGTGTGTGTGTGTGTGTGTGTGTGTGTGTGTGTGTGTGTGTGTGTGTGTAGCCGTGACTGTAAGCAACAACGTATCTCAAAAAGGAGTATGTTGATTTTATGGTAAGTTGGGAGGTGGTGAGAATAGGTGTCAGCTTGTGAAGTGTATATGGTCGATGGAGGTGGCGTCACAAGATCAAATCTATATCAGTCTGTGGTGTATGTCGCTAGGAGAACACCCACGGATCACCTGAAGATCACCTATCCCACCTTATTTCACCTGATGATTAAAAGACCCGAACGTTGCCTAGGGGGGGTTAAGTATAGTTAGGTTAGCAATAGGGTAGTTAATATTACGGTAAAATAAGGTCAAGGTTAATCTGCAGGTAATCCAACGTTACTAACACACTACTTTTAGTCAGGAAAGATGTAAAGGCAGCTCACCGTGGGGTTGTCTTGGATCAGCGTGAAGGACACTACTGTACAGGTGTTGTCAGATGTAATTTCAGTGAATTATTAGACGCTGAAGCGGGATTTTTTTTGTGTGTTAAATCATTAAGGAGAGTTGCGTTTACTTATATTCGTCAAGAGGAGTGTTATTGGTGATTTGTATTGGCGTTGAGTGAAGTAACCACGTAGGGTGCCAGGCGTTCCATATGAGGCTCTTGTGTCACCTACAGTAAAGGCACATAAAGAGCGTGTGTCATACTGGAGTTAGGTAAGTCGTTACCCACCAGTCCAATATGTGCCACACCCCAATTATATGTTGGTTCACACCTTCCTCTCATGTAACAATGTATCAATTATTAATGTCACACAGTAATTAGATATAATTAGTATAATATGTGCCAACACCTCAAATATTTGCTCGCT